TTTACATCATGATTGAATGAAAAAAAATGGTGCTGGAATAATGCGATCAGAAATATTTATTTTATTAATTCCTTTGGAATATAGTGAAGACATCTTAAGATCTATTCTACTGACAACCATATTCTGAAAATGGTTTGCGAATTCTTGTCCAAACTTTGGTATTGTTTTTGCTGGAGAATAACGTTTCGCAATTACTGAATACCTTTTTACATCTTAAAAGACTGGTGGGACTTATTTAGTGTCTTAATTAACTAACAGACCGTTCATTTAATTATTAAACCCTTATATCTTCGTCACTGTATATTGTCTGGAAGCTAATCAATTATGTCGGTGTATGAACAGGTAGACGGTCATGCAAAAACTATCGAATCCATGAATGCTGAATCTTACATGACTCCCAACAGTGGAGTTGGGGCGTCCATACTTTTAAACATTGTTTGGTCTCATGAAACTTCGTTCCTTGAAAAGCCATGTCTTCAGCATGATTAAGAAGTACTACATAGGAAGCAAAAGTCACAGGGATGTGGTAATTAATCTTTGCTTAATTACTCAACTGACTTTTACCTGGCCCATTTGTTGGTGATTGTGTGTTGTAATTCGCTGTACAGCATTTGTTTCAAACTAATTGTAAATAATTATTTCTTATTAAATGTATGTGCCGCATCCAATTCAGTTGATTACATTATCTCAGCAAATGATGGTAAGCGTTTGTTTGTATTTCCTGTTGGATTTATCTTGCAGACAAACAGTACACAGAGGGTTCTAAGTAATCTGCTGGTGACCGGTGAGCGATCACCCCACTTGAATTGGTATCGAATTCTTTCGGCGTTTATTCTAACAGAAGAGTGGTCTAGTGACTGTGGAATAACACTACACCCTAACTATGCAATCTTTAAGGCTGAAAACAAACTTCATTAGATTGTTTTCATTGTGTGTCAAATGGTTGATTTGAAGCTTAAAGGTCCGTAAATTCAGTAAGAATATATTACCGGGAATATACGTCTTGGTCATGCAGCACAAGTATCTGTGTAGCGATTTCATCCTTATATCAAGTATATTATTCGTTCCTTAATTCAGCGTTTGTTTTTCAAAGGTTCTCACAAAACAGTGTGGTGGACCATAGAGGGTCAGTGTAAACGATTATTCGACTTCGACATAAAATTATATAAATTGAGCACTCATATCACAAGGAACCAACTATTGTACGTCAGGTCTACTAGTCCGCCAAATGCTTCAATACCGATATTATGCCGAAATCCGCACAGCGATTGGGACAAAGTTACGCTCCTACTTGAGTTTGTTTAGACTTGTTATAAAACCGGAATTATAAACCTTTCTTGGGCAAAGCCCGTAGTACCACCATAAATGTCAATGATCATAAGAAGTCTCTCGTTAATAAAACAAAATCATTGGTATAAAAATGATCATTCACGAAAGTTCACCAAATGCAAAACATTTTCGTGATAATGTTCAATACTACTTAATCAAACTTCGAACCTAACTTCGAAGTATTGGTAGACTATTGGTTTTTTTGTTTTATATGTCTATTCGGCAGGAGTGCGTTTGATTGTGATAATAAATGACTTTCAGTCTATTTTCGAAAGCCTCTGTATCGAATTCCGTTATTACAGCTTCTGGTAAAGAGTTCTATAAATTATCGATTCTAACTGCACCAACGTTTACGCGGATTTTGGTATTAGTTCGTCTTTGACTTGTATCTAATAAATGTGCTCTCCAGTGTGGTTTGATACTATAAAATATAAAAGATCGGTAAGGATGAATACGAACATCAACGATAAGACATGTTAATCACCAACGTAGATGATCTATGTCGAAATGATTGGACACCAACTCGAGTAAGACGTGAATGATGTGACAACATAGCTAACATCGAAGTCACACCTCGTGGTCAGCGCTTTACGTGGACTACCCTATTGACGTATCAAGGAACCATAGATGCTTTGAAAACTGTACAACACAGAGGACGTTATTACAGAAATATATTAGACAAAGTAGATACAATCGAAAGTAAGACTACTGCCGCATAGGCAAGTCCATGGCACACGATTAACTGATGCGCGTTGGTCACCCCTGACCTTGACGAGGATCGATGATTTGCTCGATATTCAATGACCCAATTGTCGGATGATTTGGCTAGAGCTTAGTGACATTTCGCTGGCCCTACAGACCCATCGATATGACTTAAAACTCCCTTATCATTCTGTTCTGAACAGGTAGCAAAGTTGAGGGCTTCCAAGGGAGCCTACTGGGATTTATTTTTAGTACTAACTTCTTCGTTTTGCTGCTTCTAAAACACATCAGGAATGCAGTGTCCTGAAAGTTTCTACCAGATGAAGTACTTAGCAAACACTGAAAATAGTTTCAATCAAATTCGTGGTCAATTTGCCTAATGCTTCCGAAATGGGTCTTGTGACAGGGTGAAGATTATTAATTACAAGAGGCATGTAGAACATCATATTGGATGGTTATCTAGGTTCATTTACTTGGAGCCGGGTGTGATCCTGACATCATCTAGGAAGTATAAAGTAACCGGTGAATCACTCCTATTCACTATTGGAACTTTTCGTCTCATTCTACTATTAGGAAGGAGTTTCCTACTGAAGAAATGGTCTATCTTAAATCCTCGATTCGATTCTGATAGTAACGAATGATGCCAATTTCGGTTTCGGTAAGGAATTCAATGAGTGAATTTATCAAATGCCTTGAGAAAATGTAGATCTATGAGAACAGAATTGTCTCACTCCAGTAATAGGGTCTGGCTGTTCCAGGTAGCCCATAGGTTGGTATGGCCAGTGAAAATACACTGAACTTAAAAAGACGAATCATCCATTAGGCTGAATCATTTCCACGTCGTACAATAGGTCACTGATCGTTACAGGTTTTCCAGCATTTTCAATGTCAAGAATGGCTAATGTTTAAACCCATGCGTGTACTGGTCCATGTGCCAGCGGTCGCACTCTGTTCCTTCCAGCCTGCGCTTACTAAAGCGTTTTTTTCACTTAAATCACGTTTGTTTCATATGATCACCGAACTAGCCAAAGCCCCCGAATACCTTGAGAAGGCAATCCACGACAGGTATTAACTTCTACGCCATATCATTCCAAACTCGAGTAAACCGCAGACCATCTACAAATATGGTCTCCAGGTTTACATTTCGTGATACACTAGGGGTAAAACAATCCCGTGAACCAGGAACCATGGAGTTACTTAGCAGATAGTTGCGGAGGTACTCATTTATAGCTCTTTCTTTGAACTTCACAACTGTTAAGAACGAAGAGGCTGTCCTATGATTGGAAGCCTTTGAATCGCTACCTTTCTATATTCTTGTACTACCATACCTTTCTCCAGTTAAGAAGGGTGAATCCCTTTGATTTTGAGAGGGAAGGAAAAACTTCATGATGCTAATGTCACAATTTGAAGCGATTAAGCAGGAGTCATTCGGTGGGAGTATAAATTGGAAAGTAAATGGGTTTGGATATATAAGTTGATAATTTAGTAACGGTAATTGTGTACTTTCAGGTGCCTTAGCCTAACTAATTTATTAGTGGCTCGTGAAAGCTGGTGCGCTCTTAAGGACCAAAAGCTACCTGTAGAAGTCGCCTTCATTGATTTCAGTAAAGCTTTTGACAAAGTTCCGCACAACCGGCTGTTATATAAGTTAAGAAAAGTTGGGATTGGAGGCAATTTATTGATGTGGATAAAAGATTTCTTAGTTGGGCGTCAACAAAGAGTTCGGGTGAACTCCAAGTTATCTAGCTGGGAAACTGTGCTTAATGGAGTGCCTCAGGGTACAGTTTTGGGGCCAGTGCTATTCCTCTTGTATGTAAATGACCTTTCTTGTCTCCTATCATCATCGGTCTTGCTATATGCTGACGATGTCAAGATATGGAAAACGATACGATGTAAGAGTGATAGCTTAGAACTTCAAAATGACCTGAAGAAGTTATCTGAATGGTCTCAAACATGGCAGTTGCCAATAAATACTTCCAAGTGTGTTGTGATGCATATCGGTCATCAAGGCACCGATACATACACGATGAATAACACTGAGCTACCTGTCGTCCAGACATATAATGACTTCAGAGTTATTGTTAGTCGAGACTTAAAGACTACTGCACACTGCCGTGCAATAGCCGCCAAAGGTTTTAGAACCTTATGGTCAATACGTAGAGCTTTTAGTCATGTCGACGCTAAAACGTTCTTGACTTTGTATACAGTGTTCGTTCGTCCTAAACTTGAGTACTGCATACAAGCTGCTAGCCCCTGCTTAAAAAAAGACAGTGAGCTTCTGGAAAAGGTTCAGAGAACGACGACTAAGCTGGTTCCCGGAATAGCGAAGCTTCCGTATGAATCTCGACTGGCCAAGCTGAACCTTTTCCCGTTATCATATCGCAGAACTAGAGGCGACTTGATTACAGTCTACAAATTGCTTAGTGATAAATTTGCACCTAACATGCCCTCATTTTTCTTGTCTTCCAAAACAGAGAATTTACGAGGACACTCCAAAAAAGTTCACAAGCCGAGAACAAATTACTTGTCAGCTGACTATCGACTTTCCCATCGAATCATCAACGAGTGAAATTCACTACCTCAGCACGTGGTTGAGGCTCCATCCGTCGACTCTTTCAAAAGGAAGTTGGATCAACTGAGAGATCATCATTGCCAGGACTAACATAGGCCATCGAGCCTCCTGTCCTTCCCAAACTGAAACTGATTCCAACTAGTATGTACCTCCTTCGACATGAATCTGCACAAAAGCCTATCGCTCCCCAACCATTTCGTCAGATGATACGTATAAGTGGTCCCATCGCTTTGATTCCTGGGTATTTTTGTTTCGTAATACATTGTGGTTGACCAGCCGTCTATATTGCTCTCAATACGTCATTTGCATCAATCTACTCGTTTATACCTGATGAGTTTATTTTTGTTGACTGGAGTAACCCAACATATGTTTATGCTATACTAAAGCGACATTCAATGATCATAAATGTAATGAAGATAAAATTTGCCAATAAGCATATATTGTTAATAGTCAAATATGTATTTGATTTGAATTATTCTGTGTAGGTTTATCTATAAGACATTGATAAGTCGTGATACTAGCGGGATAACGGGTCCATTTAAAAAATGGTCGCAAGTTTTGGAGATTTAGGAAAGTCGGCCCGTGATATTTTTGACAAGAACTTCAGCTTCGGGTATCTTAACTTTGAGTTCAAAACCAAAACTGAAAATGATATCTCCGTGACATGTGGTGGCAAACACGACACAAATGCTGGAAGAGTTTCTGGTTTCTTAGAGTCGAAGTTAAAAGCTGCCCCAGGAGTTCATTTAAAGACAAGAGTCGATTCTAAATGGCTAATGACAAGTGAATTAGAAGTCGACAAGAAATTCCATGAAGACTTATCGCATAATGTGATAACTACAATGGAGCCTGATTCAGGGTAGGTAGACAAATCCTCAAACCTAATTATTCAGAGCTAAGTCATTGTTGCTAAAAAATAAGTTCAAGAATGAATATTTCAATGCTAATGTGGATATGAACTTCAAATCAAAATATCCTCTGATCACTGGATCACTCGTATTGCCGTATGTCCTCATTCTGACATTATTCTCTTTAGCATACCCCATTATCCTGCATTTCGTATTGGTGCACAAGCCGTGGTTGACAGCGAGAAGTCAGAAATTAGCAAACACGTTTATGCAATCAACTTTAAGCAGTCCGATGTGCAAGTGCATGCTACACTCACTGGGCATTCGGATGTTGACTTGAGCGTCTTTCAAAAATTCAAAGACATGAAACTAGGTTTCCGTGTTGGTTGGCGACCAGACACTCGTGAGACGTCATTTGGTGCAGCTCTGCGTTATAAAACCTCTCCTACTGGGAAAGTAAAAGTCAAAATAGACCAAAATTGCGTAGTTGGACTGGCTTACAAGCTTAAATTAAACTCAGGTATAATTTTTATAAAAACAATTGTCACAAACCTTGGTATTCAGCGTCTATAATTATTTCTTTTTATGTAGATTAGTATCTACACATGTCATGTCGCATTGTACTGTTGCTAAAGACTTCAGTAATTAGGCTAGTACACACATTCTGAAGGAGTATTTTGAATAGTTCGCTAAGAAAACTTCACAGAATAAAAGCATCCTTGATATGCATGAAGATTTCGGCCTATGCATTTCTCTCATATCACTCAATAGAACCAGTGTGCTTTATAGATTATGCTTATTTATGATAAATGATATGAAGTAATATGATATGGCCAAGTCTTAACATACATTAACAAGCACTGTCACCCCCCCCAAGTTGGTTGACAAAGATTAAACATGCCAACAAGCAGTGCCATATTGTTGACTCACAATAAAACGAACCTGGTATTATCAGGAAAAAAATAAAATAGCATTAGGTACAGTCTATCTAATGATAAATAGTCATTTGTTAGAGTTAAAGTTATTTAACGACCGTATTGGTCATGTAGTTTAAATCCGTTGAGTAATTAGTCAATCATTTTCTGGAATTATAACCCAACCCAGTCAAAATGTGCACCGCGAGATGCTATCTCTGCCTACGCCTATTGGTAATCTTTGATAGTTGAATCAAACTTAGACTTCAGAACGGTTAGGTTGCGAGTCAGCACTATTATCAAGTCCGTTAATCCACTAGTCAACGAAAATTGAGAAATTTGATTTTATTATCGCAAAATCAACTTCATCGATCCATTCGAGTAACTTTTTTACTTTTCAAAGCTTAGAGACCCTCATGATCCTATCTCCAGCGCTCCGTGAATTGTTTTTACATATCTGTGCCAATAACTGCTTTAAATTTTTGGTTCGACGAATCAACACATCTCCCAGTTCGATCATTGTCACAGATAACTAGGTTCGGGTACTAATGTGCATGATAAATCAACTCATTCACCAGGTAGTTAGGTATGAGTCACACTAAGTGTGAGGACTCATTATACTACGTGGTTTCTCAAATTAAAGTAGGTGCGTGAGGTTTCAATCCTAGAAGTCAGTCCCCTGAACCACCATGCTACGGTTTCAATACAAGTTTTTATTGAGTCACATTTCTAATCCTATGAAATGGTATACTAAGTCTAACATGTCCTTTACAATGACACTAATTTACTTTATACCACTGATACCTGTATTTGCGCTTTACTGTTTTACTATCTCGCTAAGCTGTTCCTTGTTTATTCAAGATTTGCATCACATAAGATCTACCTATTGTCGATCGTAACTAATTCACTTTGATCAGTGTGTTTATCAACATCTCTTATCGTTAATTTATTTATCTAAATTCCACTGTAACTTGTATCGTTTTTCTTTTCTTAATCCACTGCTTTTCTGTAAGCTAAACACCACATCCTACAAAGTTCACCCTAATCCCTTTCATTTGACGTTGCTGACATTTGATATTTAGTTTCACTCTCCCTATCTAATTTTTCATAGAACTAGGTATTCAGTCAATTAGTAGCGATTTAAACTGGATTTTTTTTTATTTCCAGATGCGTGTTTGGCATTGTGCACTCAATTTGATGGGAAGAATTTGGAGAATGGAGGTCAAAAATACGGCATCATGTTCAAGTTTGGATCGTAACATAGATATGGTTGTCTATCTCTAGGTTTAATTATGCTTAGACCGGTGCTTGCACCCCTGTTAGATTTTAACACTGGTTTAATTATACTTGTAAAGTGATCGACTTGTCTCTGTTCCGAAGTATATGATTAAATTCATTCTGTCCTACCAAACGAAACAAAATGTAGCGACCTTCGTGTTTTGTGTTATTCGAATCCTCTGTTGCGCTACGCTGTCTTCCTCATCTAACTTAATACGTCAATTACTAACGTCCTTAGATGTATGGTTTCCCTAAAGTCTCACGAATTGTCCTTCGCGTTAAGCTACACATAATTTGAAGTAAATTAAAATGCATTGTGTCCTGGTAGTATCTCCGAATTTCAGCTTCCTCGATGTAGAAAATCTTTATTCTAAGATTACCAAATATTTGTGTTACCTTATTACATGCAGTTAACTCATTTCAGATGCATAAGCGTAGAAGGCGATGACGTCAGCTTTTGTTAAGTTTTATCTAGATTAAAGTAATTTGGGACTAAACGCAATAATATACCCTTATAAAACTTGAAGACGTGGCTAGGCTCCTGTAGGAATGTAATATTTCACTTCTTAATAACCAGTGTTATGTTCATTGTTTAACCTTGATCCAACATGTAAGAATACATTGAGTGATACAATATCCCAGTACTTGTAAATTTGAATGGGCATAGGTCGGATTTTAAGAAGCATAACTAGTGCTTTAAAAGAACGTCTAGAGCTAAGATGCATCTTACAGTTATCCTTAAGTATGTTAATCACATCTAAACCCATAATGTACATGAATGAGTGGAAAAGGATGGGAGATTATGTAGTCTAAAGAGTGGAATAAACGTCTATCTAGCTTTGGTTAATATTCCTCCAGTGTCTGATATCATTACAAAAGATCATCTAGCATTCACAAGTAACAAAGCAATGGTTGCTCAAATTTATAATATCTCGTGTTTACTTTCGTCACACTGCTTAGCCAGCCAGTTCCAAAACACTATCCAAGTCTTTTTAATGACAATCTAAAGAACGAGAAATCCAAGTAGTTATGTCAAAGTGATTTCGGTTTCTGGGGAAGTCACTAGTGCCAAACTCTCCGAAGTCCCATAGTCTTACGAAACAGCTGTCCGCCACCTGACTTTCATTGCTCATCTAACAAGTTAGTCTGTGATGTAAAACTACAAAAAAACTAATGAGAAACAATTTTTTATATGGCAGATAATCTAGTCAGATATACTTCCGGGAACTTTTGTCGACGATGTATTTGGTTTAAAGGAAACTTTGAAACCATAGAACACTATATAACCATCTTCTGATTTGAAACTTAGGCCGTGCACAGCCCCACAAAGAAGTCGAATCTTTTATTTCTTGCAGTTCACTTTGCATCACCAAATAGCAAAACAGTGGTTCATATTTTCGTGGGAGTTGGTTAAATTTTTCCAATACTCTGGCTTTCACTGTTCCTCCTATCGATGTCAATCCATAACAAAAGCTGTATGTGTACTATAATTAAGTCATTTTGGTTTTTTGACAAGTGTTGGAGTTTCATATGTATTGTGGAATCTATCTTATGATTAATCTGCATAATTTCATCCGTTTTCAGAATTGCACAAAGCATGCCATCACCTTTCTAGCATTGCACTCCTCTAAAAGAATTCAAATAATATGAACAGATGAAATGGAGTAGGATTAGCTACAATCTAGCAGTTAGTAATTAATGGGTAGAGAACGTCGAAATCAACTCACCTACTTCAGCTGTCATGGTAATCAGCAATGCTATGGATTGACTTGTTTAGTTATTTAATTTGCTTGTGTGTATTCTCTACTACTTGGATACATATACTAATATGTATATCGACACCAACTTATTTTCCATTTAATACAGTCTAAAAATCCTATTACATATAGTGATATTTAGTTCATGTTAGCTAATATGACCTGAGGCCTCATATAACTCCTGGTGTATGATAAGACTAATCGATACCCAGAAACACGACATCGCTAGTTATAGTTATAGCTCACCACAGTATGTAACTAAAAGCCCTGAAAGAGTATATATAAGTGGAAACGTACAGAGAAACTTCAACAAATAGTTCCCCAAAATCCATTTCTAAGAGTATGAAGCTACATATGAATTCAATTCTTAAGGTGTATTGTAATACCCAAACTGTGATAGGAAATAAAAGATACTGCCACTTCATATTCATGAATAACTTTCAAATAAGTTCTATAAAATCTGACCAGCTAAAACTTTGATTGTTTCGTGTCCGAGAGCAATTTACTGAAAATTGATGCAAGTACGCATAAATGTTAGAAACCATTAGCTTCCTGGTAGTAAATTCTATTGCACTAAAACTCGAGCCAGGTTGCTACATGATACAGATGTAGTTCAAAAGTTTGACTAATGAAACGGGTTGAACATAAGAGGCTTTTTATGTGTTGAGTAGAACTGCACGAAAATGACCCTTGGGCACTGATGAAGATGAATCGAAATGAAGTTTTCCTTATGAATCTTTTGGTAGGTGAATAGCTTACAGGGCGATAAGAAGTGTCCACTTATCGCTCATTGACAAGCATCAACCAATTTTGATTTGTACGGTGCCAGACGGGATAATTTCGTACTGTCATTTTTATTTGGTACTAAATCCGTGGTAGTCGACGTAAGGTCAATTTCTAACGCCATTTAATTGTTAGTCGTTATCAACGAAGCCTGATAGCACCTTCCATAAGACGTGGGTTCTTAATAAATCAAGACCTACATTCCTCAATATCAGAGCTTTTAAAACCGTCTTGAAATCCCGTTTTAACCAGGGACTAAGTCTATGTAGCAGCATAATCGGAATCTCAATCATGTTCTGATTAAAATCAAAAAAGCATGGTTTGTCATTTCAAGTTACTTTTTCTCAACCATGCAAATGCAATCAAAGTCCGTTATAATGTCCAGTCACGTAATTTAGTAGATATATTGAAAAGTCGCTTGATGAAATTTAGAATTAGACATTAAGCATATTGAAGTCAGTTGTCATTAAGTAATGTAACGTAGTTTTATTGTTACTACAGCAATAAATTCCATGTAATAACTAAATTACGGTCCGTAAAAAAACAACTGAGTAGCCAGTCGACGTATATAATGGGGTTGTCTACGCCGTCATTTTAGTCGATTTTTCAAGGTTAAATATTAACAAACGGTGGCCACATAATCTAATTTTTATATAGCACTGATACTGTATACATTTTATTGATTTACTTGACCTTTTCGTAAGTCCTTTCATTCAGTTTTCTGTTGTAAATAAAATTTTGTTAACATTTGACAGTTTTATAGACCAAACAAAATGATCAATAATAATTTAAGTAGAATACACTAAACAAACCCTATCGAAGAAAATGCCAGATATAAAGTATAGTTTCATGTGAACTAACTTTTTTCTCATAAAATAATTCTACTTAAGTATACATTGATTTGACAGACAGGGAAATTTGTTAGGTATTTGATTTTCTTATACTTAAAAAAAATTATTTAAATGAACTAGTTAATTTGGAGGATTATGGAATTCGGAGAAATCTGTTGTTAATACATTTCTATAGCTCCTGTGCTGTGAATATATAATGTTAATGAAGGTGAATGACTTTCCTGTTAATCTTGTGCGTATAAGATATACAGTTAGTTGATAACTGGTCACAGACACTGAAGTAAAAATGTCGCTTAAATTGGTGAATATTTATGACAATGAAAGATGAGCGAATATCTGAGTTTATTAACGTCAAAGCTCTTAATGTCTATGTGATGGTTATATTTTGTGATCTTGGGCTGATAGTCTCAAATGCGTTTTCGAAGAGGTAGTGAGTGTAGGCACTTTTTAACACATCCGAATCTTTTACGTTTTTGAATTATTAATGTTCAGAAGTGTGAATGGATGTTCCATGTAAGGCATTTACTATACTTTTGTGCTAGTCCACGCGTAAATAGAATTTTCCTCTTCACTCAACATTGAATAATTTACACGATTTAATCATTGCCACACCATTCTTCTCTTTGAGTATTCTGAACATCATAGCTGATATAACGTGGTGACAAGACAAAATTATGTTGTTTACTCATTATGATTCTTGTTCACCATTACTTCCGTTTTTAATTCAGTATGAATTAACGCGGTCCGACAAACCATAGGCCAGTAAGACTTAACTAACATAGGGCAAGCGATATTGTTTCAAGACTGAAGATTACAGTCATTTAGGTGTCAAAACATGGTTTACAGCACAACTACCAAAATTAGACTTAGTCTCAAACCTTCCTCTATTACTCACTAGCGGTCTACTTCATCCCAGGATTTGATGCGCATGTCCGTTGTGACGTAGTCTGACATGGTGAATAAGAATTATAGTCACAGTCAAATTCACAGAATAATGTAATTTCTTTTAAATAAAAATTTCATCATAGTATGATGGCTTTAATGACTACATGAACGACCGTTATTTCGACCTAAGATACATATAGTTGGCGTGACAACGTGGAGTATATTTCCACTTGATGATTATTTAGTGTAATATTTGTTTTATTTTCCAGTGTGATATTTTACTCAGTATAAGATTAATTTATTTTAGCTTGGTGTCTATTCAAGATACAATATTCCTATATTAATTTGACATGAACTATGCTCAGCACGATATGCAACATTTGATTTGTTATAATCCGGGGTATTTTTCATGTGACTTTTCCCTAATTAATAATCAAATAGATGTAGCAATCAATATACAAATGAGTGTATTCTCGAATAGAGTCGTTGTGTTTTGGGATGAATGAATCTTCACTTGTATAACTCTTCCGTGTTCTTACTTCATGTCGTAGGAACTGCAATGGTTCCGTGTTTCAATAATAAGTAAGAAGCGACCCATGTATAATAATATCATGTGATGAAAATTTATAATCTTGTGAATTTGATAAGCATACAAGTTCAAAAGTGTACGTTAATGTATTCCATGACCTTAAAATTATTTTGTGACACACGGCAGAAGTAGTTCAACTATTTTGTAATTCAAATTAGAAAATCATCATCTTGTATGTCTACAAATCATCTATACTAATTGCATCTTAAATTCAACTAGTCATTGTTTAATAGATTAAATATAACTCAGTGTCAGATCTATTATTTTTAAAATAATTATTTAAACAGTATCACCCCGAAACCATTCAATTGGAGTAGAAATTTAATTCAATACAAGCAAACTGCTCATTAATCATAAATCAGTTTCATCAACATTACGTAAATATTTCATTTGAACCACTTTACTTGAGTGAGAGGATATACCTTCAACTAAATGTGTATACGTTTCGATGGATTTATATAGAATGTGGCAGCTAAAATTTTACCAAACGATCTACACTAATCAACACCAGCTCAAGCATGGATCTTTCAACATGTCAAACAACATGGTGAATTTTTTAAATCAGGACCTGAAGCTCTTCACTCTTGACGGTGATTAGTTATTGTGTCAATCTTATGATTTAGTTTATCTTTAAATAAAACCGCAAGTGTATTCCCGACATACAAATACAGAGTTCAGTATGTTAATTAATTATCAAAATGGTATTCAATGTTTCGACCATCAGTTGGTTTTTACAACTTCATTTGATTCTTTCATAAAAATAATAACACAAGTATGCTGACGGTTTTTAATCATAAGTATCTTCGAAGCATATTTATCCACGAATACTTATATATAACTACTGGTAAGAGTAAAATTGACAAATCAATATT